TTAGAAAAGAAGAGCAAGTAAAAGTACCTTTTGGAAGAGGAGTCCAAACCCTTTGATCAGAAGAAGTGGGGTCCAAGCAAACGGATTCTAGTAAACGAATTAGCTCATTAACACAATTCGACTCACCACCCCTTAATCCTCTACGAAACCCAAAGTCCCAGTTTAAAGATAAGGGGTGTAACGGGCTCGGGAGAAAAGTTGCAATTGGCTCAAGTTTGTGAAGGGAAATGGAATAGAGCGAGGGGAAACAATCTTTGAGGGGTTGAGTACCCTCCCAAATATCCTGTAGAACAGAATAGCATTAGCAGAACAAGCATCTCACCTGATGAATCTGAGGAAGCGAGGGAGAATACCATGTATAGCCTTCCAAGGTGTAGTAAGGGTAGCTCGGCGAGATATCCCGGAATCCCAACMATTTCCTGCACAACCATGAATGCTTGCCACCACCTCATGCCATAATCTCTCTCTCTCTCTCGGGGCCATCTCCATAGCCACTTCCCAAGAAGGGCTACATTCTTCAGCACTATGTTCCCTATCCCTAAACACCCTTCTTCCTTTGGTTTGTTAACTATCTCCCATCTGATCAAGTGATCCTTTTTCACCTCTCCTGGTTCCCATAGAAAGTCCCTCATTCTTTTCTCTAGTTTCTTAGCCTCCCTTGGAGGAATCCTGAACACTGAAAGGAAGTAGGTTTGAAGGTTGGCAAGTGTAGGTTGGAATCTGGTCTCCCTTCCCTTATGGCCTTTTCATTTGTGCCTCCTTTTTCAACCTTCTTGTCCATTCAGACTCTTTGGAGTGAACTTACTGGTGAAGGAAATTTGTTGTAAACCTATCCCTCCCCTCCTAAAGTACAAGCTTTGTGTTGGGAAGTATTCCTCGGAAAGATTAACACTTGTGATGTGTTGCAAAAAAGAAGGCTTAACAAGTGCCTCTCTCCTCACATGTGTATTCTTTACAAGGCTAGTGGTAGGGCCTTTCCTTGTTTATTAATCTCCTGCTCTTTTGTGTCTTGCATTTGGGCTCTCTTTGGTTGCAAATGGGTTCCCCCTTGTTTAACCCCAACTTCCTGAGACAAAAGAAAAAAAAAGTGGGAGGGCAGTAAGAGAAGCATTGGTTTGAACGATTTGTGGAAAAAAAGAAACCAAAGGATCTTTATTGAAAATAGTAGATATAAGGAGGAACCGATTGAAGTCATAACAGTTAGGAAGATGCGTTGGGTAAAAACCTTGGAGCTCTTTCGAGAATTCTCAACCAATGTCGTCAAGGACATGGGCTGAAGTGGCACAAACAGAAAGACATAAGGACAATGTGGGAATAGAATGGAAGCCTTCAGCTGCAAATAAGCTGAAGTTGAACTTTGATGGCAGTTTTGTGGGCAATCCGGGAAGGGCAGGCATAGGGAGTTGTATTTAGAAATCCCCAAGGAGTGGTAGTGAATTTGTATTCAGGACCAATTGTCTATGAAGGCTCGGTTAAGGCTGAAATAATAGCTCTATTACAAGGAATGAAACTAGCACTATAGCTTGGTGTTGGGGATTTGGAAATTGAAGGAGATTCACAACTAGTCATTGGACTCATTTACTGAACCAAGCAAGTCAACTCAGCACCTTGGAACTA